TAATTTTCGTATGCTAAAATTGGTTAAAGCAAATGTTAAATAAAAGAAAGAAAAAAAATTTGATAGTTGCATATGCATATGTGGAGTCACCCCATACAATGTCGGGTAGAAAGAATATACTAGTACACGTAAAATGGAAATGAACACAGAAATGACTGCATACCTTTTTTGGTGAGTTTTGGATAAAACTTTGTGAAATAGCTGACTTATATTTTGGATGATTTTGTTAAAATTAAAAAAAAAAAAAAAAGTTTAGATAGCACTTTTTAAGTCGGTTCGTCTGTTCCCTTGGTATTCCGAACTCTTGGGCTAGATCGTGACAACTTCTATAGAAAATTTAAGAGTATCACTAGATGTTTGGAAAAACAATTAAGTAAATAAGGCATCACAATAACAATCTGGGGCATTTACATACATACCACATAACCTTATGTATTTATATATGAACACCTAAACATAATTTTTACATTTATACCGCACAAATCTTCCATGCCACCAAAAAAAAATAATGCTATTTTGGCATTCAAAATATGAAATACATTGTTTCATGCATAGGTCGGGTGGCGTATACTTAAAAGTTGAAGTTTAAGTGTTAAATATGTACATGCATAGGAATTGAGTGGTATGTGTGTAAATCGTCCAAAATTTTTTCTAAGCATAAAATAGTAGTTGCGAGCTTATAGGTCATCCTAGCTTTCCTCGCTTTTGGCCTTCTACAAATTTCCACCATTAGCAGAAACTCGTTTATTTTCTAAACATCAAGCTTAAACAACATCATTTAATCATCATTCGAGATTGGGAGCACTTCTATATTTAGCGGAAGAAAAATTAATTTGATTCATATTTTTTTTAAAAAAAAGGGCTTGAGGCAAACTCTTCCTATTATTGTCTTCCATCTGTTTCTTCGTCTCTATTTTCCTATTGGTTTGAAAGAGTCATTGTGTTTATTCATAGGGACTTTACATAATTATCACCCAATGCCTAAGTATTTACAGATCTAACAACTAAACTTATACTTTTTACCTTTCTACCACACTCACATCACATAAAAAAATACAATTAACTTTTAAAAAGTGAAAAACACATTTTCATACATAGGTAAAGTGGCATATATGTAAAAATTAAATTTTAGGTATTAGTTATGTAAATACATAACAATTGAGTGGTATGCATGTAAATCTTTCTTAGTTATATTAGATACAACTTAGATTCCAGCCAAGTGCTTGAATCTTAAAACAAGTTCCCTATTTTCTTTTTGCTATCGATTACTAGCATAAGGCCATTGATCCAATTGGTTGAATTGCTTATGTTAGAAGTTATATTAGAAAATAATTTATTGTTATTATAAGTTATGAGAATTAGATTTATTTCCGAATATAACTTTATTTCATTTCTTATTTTAGATTTATTTTCTTAGATTACATTTATTTCCTTTCCTATTTTAGGCTTTCCTGTTTTATGTGTCATTTATCTCCAGATAATTAATATGAATTGATTAATTAGAGATATTAGATGTTATATATTTCTTTTTCCTTTTATTTTTTTTATTGTCTTTCATATTCTAGAATTCATGTAAGAGTTATTTATTTCTCCTTTCATATCAATAAAATTATTATGCATTATTTTGACTTTCAACATGGTATCAAAGCCAGAAAAAAACTCTAAAGTCTCGTGCCACCGAAAACATACAACTCTTTGCAGCCAGCAATTTTTATCGTATTGCAGGCCCTTCCTAGGATCGAACCATAGCTGTCGTCGACGCATCTACCTAGCCGTCGGCATCTTCCGTGCAGCATTTCTTTTGCTTTTGTCGTCGGCAATCCCTGCAGATTTTTCTTCTGTCGCTCAACAGTTTGGTAAAGTAGTGTTGATTGGTACATCGATGGCTTGCCAGTCAAGTAGCGCTGCTTGTTGGCCTCGTAGGTCATTCACCTTTTTTACTTCCCCGGTTTTGGTCATGTTTTCTTTCTATTCCGGTTACCATGGAATTTTCATCTAGTTCGAGTCATTGATTTTTTTCTGAAGGAGTTTCCAATTACTAGAATTTAGGGTTTCTTCTTGTTAAGCCTCATGCCATTGCTAAAGATGAATTCATGGGGCGGTCTAGGCTGATGCATGAGTGTCGCTGCACTTTATCTCCTGGGCAAGAGAAACGTAAGGGATGCGAACGTTCTAAGGTTAGTGAACAGGGTTAATCAAATAAAAGATCTGATTGTTCTTTTGGATATTGCCTGCAAAGTCTTTCCCCTTGTCGTTATTGTTTCTTCACGAGTTGGTTTAGATAAGGCTATCCATTATGAACAAAATGGTTTGAGAGGCGTGATAGTTGAGGAGATGACAAAACAACATTTTCTAAAGCATAATGATGTTGAATCATGTATCCAGGATTCTGCTTTGATGCTTTCCTTGAGTAAAGGGGTTCCACGATATCTTAATGATGGGATTGGTCGTGTGTTTGATATGTTAAGGAGACAGTCTCATCTTCCTTTCTACTTCAAAATGTTTGTTTTAGATGAGGCGGATGAAATGTTGTCTCGTGAGTTCAGGTCCAAGCAGTTTGACCTCTTCCCTGCATGTCCCTAACGGTCCAAAATCATCTATGTGGCTGAAAAGCTTCCCTGTTGACCTTACTAACACCATCCTATGGGGTCTCAAATTCTTGTCGGCTGAAAATTCCTGCAACCGCCTCTAGGGCGTCCTCCGCATTTTCACATGCATGGAATATGGAAATAAAGAGAAGCTTGTTACAAAAAAGTTCAACTTTGGTTTGCTTTCAAAATAACTTGAGAAAGGTTATTACAGAGGAAAGTCTGGATGTATCTTGGAATGGAATCCCACCAACCCGCCTACATGTCCTTCTCTATCCTTTCCTCCCTATTGCCAAAAACTACATGCAAGTCCTTCTCTGTTTTTTTCCTTTGCCACCAGAAGTCTCTCTACGGCCGAAAGTATCCTGTTGCAAGCCCTCCCCGGCGCAAAGTATCTTCCTCCGGAGCTTTTTTTTTTTTTTTTAGCAGACCCTCCTCCGAAACTTTTTCCTACATCAGCCCTCCTCCAGAGCTTTTCCTGCAGCAGGTTCTCCATCGAATTCTTCTTGCAGGAAGCCCTCCTTCAGAGCTTTTCCTACAGCAGACTCTCCATCGAATTCTTCTTGCAGCAAGCCCTCCTTCAGAGCTTTTCCTGCAGCAGGTTCTCCATCAGAATTCTTCCTGCAGCAGGCCCTCCTCAGGAGTTTTTCCTGCAACAAGTCATCCATCGAAATTCTTCCTGCAGCAGACCCTCCTCCGGAGTCTTTTCCTGCACCAGGCCTTCCTCCAGAATCGTTCCTATAGTAAACTCTCCTCCAGAGCTTGTTCTGCAGGAGATTTTCCTCCAGAGTTTTTTTCTAATCAGGCGTACCTCTGGAGCTATTCCTTTTTCTGCAGGTCTACCCTGCAGTTTTTTTTGTTAGTTGTCAATTTCCCTGCAAACTCCATTGTAACATTACATGTATGAGTTTTCTGCCTCCTACAGACATTACATGAACTGTAGTAAAAAACCCATAGTAAATTAGAAGTCAGCTTTTCTTGAAGGTAGTCTACTTCCCAGCAAACTCCCCTGCAAGAAGCCTTTTGCCTACGTACAAACACTGCAAAAATTGCAGTCAAAAACAACTGCAGTCAACTAAATTTCAGTTTCTCCTGCAGGTAGTCTACTTCCATGCAAACTCCAATATTAACTATATGAGTCTTATGCCTACCTACAGACATTGTAGGAACTGCAGTCAAAGACAACTACAGTACAGAATAAAAACTTCAAGCTCTACTTCACAAAATCATCTCCGTCCATTGTTTGTTGTTTTCAAAGCTAAGTTGAATCTGTGTTTCAATTTGAGGGAGAGTATTAAAAGTTATATTAGGAAATAATTTATTCCTATTAGAAGTTCTAAGGATTATATTTATTTTCTAATATAACTTTATTTTCTTTCCTATTCTAGACATATTTCATATTATTTCCTAATATTTCTTGAATTAAATTTATTTCATTTCCTATTTTAGGCTTTCCTATTTTATATTGTGTCATTTATCTCCAAATAATTAATACAAATTGATTAATTGAAAATATTATGTGTCATATATTTACTTTCTTGTTTTTTTCTTTTTATTATATTTCCTATTCTAGGATTGATGTGGGGTTATTTATACCCTCTTTCATATCAATAAAAATATTTCGCATTCTTCAGAATTTTAACAAATTCAATCAAACTTTCTTATTCATTGAAGAAAATGAGTAATTATTTATATTAATAGCTTATATCCAGTAAAAATTGCTACTTATTTCATGTTGCTCAGCATCTCATATTAGATCAAAATTAGAGAAAAGCAGTCTGGCTCCCTAACTACATTTACAAATAAAAAACAAAAACCTGCAAATTAGCTTTTTGCATGAATAAGCTTAGAGGGTTTGTGATCAGTTTTTTTTTTTTTTTCTTTTTATTTTAATTTTGCTTTGTTCATGTTTTGACATGAAATAAAACATACTTAGTGGTAATAGTTGCTTTTATGAAAACTCAAAACACTTACAAGCTGTTTTGAGTGTTTTTAAAAATAATTTGATTTATTTTTTAAAATAAAAAAACATGCATAAAGTGCACTAAGGGCTTATTTTAGATCATTTTTGTTTTTTTGTTTTTTTTATTTTAATTTTAAAAACATATTTGTTTAGTGCATTTTTTACATGTTTTTATTTGTTGTTTTGAAAAACAAATAAGCTTGTTTTAAAAACACTCAAAACATCTAAAATTTATTTAAGAGTTTTTAAAAACAACTAAATATGTTATGACATACCAAATATATTTTATTTTAAGTAAAAATATAAACAAACAAAACAAAACAAAAATAATAATAATAATAAAGGAGTGATCCCAAACAGCCCCTGAACAATCATGTTTTTAAAAATAGAAACAAAAATAAAAAATAAAATTGATGTCAAACAAGTACTAAGTTTTGAGTGGCACTCACCTGTGGTTTCTAACTTCCACATCAGCATTAGGGTATTGTAGCATAACAACAATCCAATTAAGGTTTTCTCTTATCATTTTAGCTGCATCAGCTGCTATATGAAAAGCATTATCACCATCATCATCCTAATCAAGAGAAAGGAAAAGAACAAACTGTTAAACATAATTAAACTGAATTCGTATTAAAAAAAATAACATTTTGAAAAAAGCCACCTAAGAGAGAAAATGGAGACCATTAAGGAAGCTGCGTAATTCTAAGCATTCTCTGAGATGATATTAAAATTAGGGGCATTTATATACACAGCACACAATTCTCATGTACTTGCATATCTCACACCTAAACTTTCATTTTACATAGATAGTACTCGTATCTTTAATATCACATAAAAAATAGCACTACTAACATCTTCTATAAAAGTGAAATACAAATTTTCATGCTTTGTCAAAAACACCAAAATGCTATATATGTAAATATAAAAATTTAGTGTAAGATACGTAAATACATAAGAATTCCGTGCTAAATACATAAATGTCCCTCAAAATTAAGCGGATTGATGCTAAAAAAAGAAAGATTACTATATATTGTCTACCTTACAGCTTGAAAATTTATATCTGGCATTAACAACCCTAACAGATCCATATTTAACAAAGTAGATTTAGTTAAAATACATTATTATATGTTATTTTGGACTTTAAGATTACTCAAATAGTTAAGCACCACAATTAGGTTGCAACTACTATTATTTCCACCAAATACTTAAAAAAACCAAAATATATGAGCCATGAATCCGATAATTACATGGGAAATTTACATAAAACCACACAATTCTTAGTATTTACATATCTAACAACCAAAGTTTGATATTTGCATTTATAATACCTTGGTGTCATAGACTTATGCATGAAAATGTGTATTTCACTTCTAAAAAGATAGTGATAGTGGTATTTTTGATGTCATGTTAAGGATTTTAGTGGAATGTATGTAAATATGAACTTAGGTGTTAGATCTGTAAAAGCATAAGAATTGTGTGGTATGCATGGAAATGCCCAAAAATTCATTGCCCACAGCAGTAATTTTTTTAAAAAACAGAGTCTGCATTCTCAGAAAGAATTTAACCATATCAAAAACAAAACAGCTTACGTTTATTTGAAATCAAACAGAAAGTATAGGAATGTTGCTCAAGATGGCACATATGATTATAAAAGGGAAGTTCTAGCTAAGAAAGAGATGGGAGGAGAATGAAATAAAGGGATAATTTCACACAAAACATTGCTATTTATAAAAGTATCACCTTGATAAATATTTCAAGTCAGACAACAATTCAATGATTTTAATGAACTGTGAACCACAGCAAAATAATACAAAAGTTTCATACTACTCATTAAACCATAAAGAGGGGCTCCCTTTGATTTAAAAATTTGTCGGTTATTTAAGTCATTTAATGTAATTTTAGAAGCTTAATCCTAATTCAAGGGTACCGCATTAACAAACTCATGTTAGATGCGGCTTGAGAAGTTTAGATTTGACCCAATGGAGCTAAGAGTTCCATGGGTTTATCATTGGCAAAAAGTTTACAAGAACGTTTTCCCTCGATGATCAAAATATTGGCTAATTTTCTTTAAAAAAAAATTAGATTCATTAAAAAACATTGATTTCATATTGCTATAAAAAGCATCATGTTTTACTCTATTAATTTCTTATCAAATGGTATGACTTTTATACAAAAATTTTGTATTTAATAGAATTTGAGTGGCATTTTTTTTTCAGTTTTGTTTGAAATATTACGAGTTAACATAATCAAATGGTGAGGGTTTTAGCAACCATGAATAACTAGTTGATTTAAGTAAAAAGGATCTAAATGAGATTCGAGACCAGATTGATCCAAAATTATAACAAGGTTGCACTAAATGAAGTTGTAAATTTGAACATAATCATGACACATCATTCAATCAAGGAGTGGTCTTATTTAAAGCACAACATCAACAATGTTCATGGACAGCCCAATAAAACATCGGACGTGATCAAGACTTGGTGTTATGATCAAATTATCACCATCTAGTGAATCAAATGGCTTCAATTCAACAATTTAGAAGAAAAAACAATAAATATACTTGCGTAGCATGCACATATGGCAAGAGTTTCAAGTTTTTGGCTTCGTCGTAGTGGTTGATAGTTGAGCAAATGATGATTGTATGTTGTCTTCAACCTCCCGTGGCCTTTGTAGAGGGCAAAATGGAGAACTTTTAGGTTTTATTCAAGCTTTAGGATTTGCTTATTACTGGTTCAATTAGGTTCTCATTTGATTAATTTTTTATGGTGAACCTCACAAACACGATAGAAAATAAAAACAACAAAGCACAAGTAAAATGTAAACTTGATTACTTACTACTTTTGTGAAATCCATTTATTAGGATGCTCATTGCGTTAATTTTTAAGGTAAAAAATGGAGTTGTATAGATTTTAGCCCAATAGGAATCCCATTTGAACTCAGCCTAGTAATAAAGATCATAAAACTCCTCAACAAAATTATCTAGTTCGTTCTTTATCAAAATAGTTCAAATTTTGGGTGACCGCCAAAAAGAACTTATTAAAGCATCATAACGAGTTTTTAATAGTACAAATTATAACAAGAGATGGCTTCCTAGCCATATAAATCAAAGCTACTCAAATTTTTTAAGGTGAGTTTTAAGAAAAGAGAATTTAGTTTTATCCATTTCCACTCTAACAACTTTCATCTCGCACACAATGAAACACATTGGTCCTAGGTGCAAATTGAAGTTTGAAAAGTTACTTCTTCATGCTCATCATGATTAATAGTATCTTTAAACTTAACACAAAAGTACTCATAAAACCAATCCAACAAGGCTAATAAGTGACGCACACACTCTACTCTAATGGGCTTCTTATGCTCCAAAAATTTTCATTTACCAACAACAGTTTTTTGAGTCAAGCTTGATCTCTAGTCAAGCTTGATCTCTAGAGATGAGGCAAAGTCAACAACAAAGGCAATCACAACTATGATCCTTTGAGTCAACTCTTGAGATGGGGCAAAGTCGATAACAAAGGCAAACATAACTTATGCTTAGATCATTACAAGGCCGCAAGTTTTATTGCAAGTCACTACTCAAATTGTACGGACTTAAAAGTAAGACCCCATGTGCCTTTCTAAAACAATGAGAAATTTTGTTAAGCTAGCCCACACATATATACTAAGCCTTGAGCTCAAAATTAAAGGTTAAAAGACTAAGTTATCAAGCACTAGGCTAAATAAGTTGCATTACAATGACCAAATATGAGTCTCTCAACTGTGGATAACATAATTAGGCCCCTAACCACATCATGCTACCGTAGTAGATGGACGGCTCTACTTCCCTAAATCTTAGTAAATAAAGCTCGATATTATCGTTGTTTCTTCGAATCCATGATACAATAGCAAAGGCCTTCCAACCTCAAATGGCTTACGATTGGAAGCGCTGTCAAATACACTTAGGTGCTTATGAGAAAATTTCATAGGTTTCTTTAGATTGGGAATAAGTCAGCTGATGCCAATCAACATGTGAATATTATTTAGCAATAAAATAAGATCAAATATTTTTTACTATAAAAAGATATCTTATATCCATCACTATCTTCTATTTTGGATTAAGGTCAAATCAATTTGTATAAACAATTTTTCTTATGAATTTTATTGACTAGGCTACAGAAAGCATATTTTTGGGATTAAATAGCATGTTATATTATAATTCCTATTGCCAAAAGTTAAAAAAAAAAAAATCTCTAGAGCCTTCAAGCGGTCCTCGACAATTCAATTCTTAACTAAGAGATCATCGACTAGATTGCTCCTCATCAGTAAATGGAAGATATTATCTCTAATTTGCGACTAAATTGCACTAGCACTCCTTAGTTCAATCAACATGCTTTGGTAACAGAAAGTGCTTTCGCCGATGAAAGGATGGTTAGCTTACATCCTCATTAGGTAAATCCATTCAAAAATGTTGGTCTCTAGAAAAACATTAAAAAAACTAAACATAAGGTATGTAGCAATTAATTCAATTAAGGTGTGGCTAACAAGCAACAAGCAACAATGCTTGGGGCATAATGGATTGAGACGTGTGATAATTCACATTCTTCACCTATTATTGATCTTTTTTACCAACATTATGTTCCAGATACACTTGGGATGTCATGCTTCCCAAAGGCATCATAACTCCGAAAAACTTAAACCAAATATTTGAAAATTTTATTTCTCTCTTTAGTGACATTCCTCTTCCATCGCTCTATATAAATGATTTAAAAGGGATCCAAATTGAAAATTTTGGCAGAAATATACTCAAATGTCAAAAATTCCACCACCGTTTCAATATCTTCAAAACTTTTCAATTTCCTGCAATAGTTTACAAAGTCTGCTTGCTAGCTTCATAGAATACGTTATTTTCTTTAAGATTGCAAGGTTGATGAGTTTCAGCTTCCTATTTAATGAAAGATTCCCTTGCTTTTTCATATTTGCATGCTATTTCTTTTCTATTACCAATCATATATAGTTTAAGAGCGTCAAAAATGATGTTAGTGCACCACATTTTGGAGCATTCTAAAAATAGGATTGGAGACTAATAAATTGAATAATTCAAGAAGATGTGGATCATGATCTAGTAAAATGAAATAAAAGGTTTATCATTTGATTTATTTCATCCTTATTACTTAGAGCTTTCTTTCCGCTTTCTAAAGTTTTTCAAAGGCCAAAATTTAAATTAAAAATATACCTTAAACTTGAATACATTGTATTTATATACTACAATCTTCAAGCCCATTTCACTGGTGGAGATCTTAACTACTATATTTTAATCCAAAATTTTCAAATGAAACATTACCTCCTTCCCAAGTCTTTTCACTTAAAATAAAATCTAGGGGCAATACATACATATCACTCAACACATTGCTATTTACAAATCTAGCACCCTCTTTCATCCAATTTGTTCTCACTCAAATATTCTCACTCAAATATCAAAATTCATGATAAAACCCCAACCCATATTTTTCATCTTTATCAAATTCTCAATGGCTTGATCGTGGCACGTGTAAATACATCGGTTTGGTAGTTCGAAAATATCACCAGGTTGCTAGATTTTGTAAATAGCAATGTTTCAGGTGCTATGTATGTAATTATCCCTAAAATCTATGTGATAATCGAGGTGATTTTGTACCTTTCATCATCTTTAAATGCCTTAAAAAGCTTGCAATCAATAAAGGAGTGCTCCATGGGGCCTTTGGATCATGGAAAATAAAAGTTTTACAAATCGTATTGCTTCGATGTTGAGTTGGTTCTTAGTCACGCAGATGAAGTATACCGTTAAGTCTTCAAAATGAGATTCATTGTTATATAGTATTTGCAAAAGGTATTCTTACATTATGGGGCACTTATGTAGATATAAGTAGAAAGAAAGAGCAAAGAAAGAAGCATTTATGAGATTAACGTTTCTAGGAATAATATCTAACTATATGACATGCAATTATAGTTGATGTGAAATTAATCATTATAAGTGAGGAGATCAAATGATGCATAGAAAAAAAAATTAAAAAAATAAGTGAAAAATAAAGATAAGGTAGAGTATCTCAGATACTTAAGAGATATGATTTGAGCTAAGAATAAAGTGGCAAAGAAGAACTATAGCATAGTGAATGGAAGATTAATTTTACAAACTTGTGATTAGATATGAACTACATTGTTGGTCATAAAGAAGCTATCAATAATCAAGTTGAGTAGAAATTATAATGTTAAGATGAATGTGCAGCAATAAGTAGAATGAAAGTTTGAGAAATAATTATTTGAGGTGGTGAGAAACAAATTAGGTGGTTTGAGCATGCATAATAGTTAGTAGAAGAAGTTTTGATAACAGAGGTAGAAGAATTGCAAAAAAATTTGGGGCATTTACATAGATACCACGCAATTCTTATGTATTTACATATCTAAAGCCTAAATTTTACTTCTAAATTTATACCACTCAAATCTTTTATATCACATTAAAAATTGCATCTTAACTTTAAAAAGTGAAATGCGCCTTTTCATGCAAAAGGTGGTGTGTATGTAATAATTGAATTTTAGGCGTTAGATATGTAAATACATAGGAATTGATGGTATTTATGTAAATCTTCTAAGAAAATTTGCACAAAATATATTTAACATCTTATGGAACATTCAACAGGAATGAATAGAAATGAAAACAACCCAAAATAAAAAGGAAAAAAATTTAATCATTGGATCATCAGCTATTAGTAAAATGAAATAAAGACTTTTACAAGAAAGCTTGTTTAACATGTTCCAAAAAAGAACATATACATGTCAAGACCACAACAAGACATTAGTAGCAAACCTGAACAGAGCAACAAAAAAATAGGCAAAAGAAATCAAGTTCAATAAAAGACCACATAACATTCAGAACATCAGTAAAATTAGAGGGGGCATTTATATACATACAGCACAATTCTTACGTATTTTTACATATCTAACACCCAAACTTTCATATTTACACAAAGAACACTGAGGTCTTTGACATCAAATAAAAAATATACTACTACCATTAACTTTTTAAAAGTGAAATACACCTTTACTTGCATAATTTTTAATGCCAAGTTCTTATAAATGTAAATATCAAACTCTAGGTGTTAAATATGTAAATGCATGAGAATTGTTCGGTATGCATGTAAATTTCCCAAATTAAAAACGACAAACTGAAAAAAAGAAGCATGAATACTCGAATGGTGGTTAGATACTCCCAAGTACTATAATAATCTAAAATTATTATGTCAAACATTTCAGTTGATTAATTTGGTTTAAATTTCAAGAAAGGGCGAAAGTGGCATCAAATATGCTTTGAACGGCAACAAATAACTATGCTGCATGTCCACTACCCCGTTCAAAAAATAATGGTCGGATATTTTTATGGAAGATTTACATACATGCCACTCAATTCCTGTTTGTTTGCATATCTACACCTAAATTGCAATTTTTACATACATGCCACTTTACCTAGGCATGAAAAGTTATATTTCACCTTTTAAAAGTTAAACATGATGGTATTATATATGTGATATGAATGATTTAAGTGATATAAATGTAAGTTTAGGTGTTAGACATGTAAATTCATAGAAATTGGTGGTATGTATGTAAATGCCCCTATTTTCATATACAAGCAAATGGAAACATGATATGGTATCTAACATTATAAGATGATAGATAATTAACATAAAAGTTTTAATTTACATTCCGCTACCATTTGTGTATTTATATATAAAACATATGCATGTAACAGCGCTGCACGAATGGAAGACAGTACAACAAATATTAGCTAAATATTATAAGATGTATCCATGTATCAGTGCGGTAAAAATGGAATACATCGACGTAGTATAATAATAATAACTCTAACATTATAAGAAATTTAGTCTGAAAGTTTCAATTTATGCCCTGGCACATATAAGATCAGTTATGCATGAAAATTATGCATGATACATTACAACACAATTTCTACGTATTTACATTTCTGACACCGAAGCTTTGCTTTTTTTACATTCATACCACCAAAATCTTTCGTATCACATTAAAAATACTACTATTTTAACTTTAAAAAATGAAATACAGCTTTTCATGCATAGATAGGGTGGCATGTATGTAAAAATTGAAGTTTAAGTGTTAGATATGTAAATACATAAGAATTCAGTGGTATGTATGTAAATCTCCCTTAGTTAGGTTTACTAAGAATAGCAGCTGCTGTTGCTTTACCCAAACTATTAAAAGATGGATTTTAAATCATTCTTCGCTGTTAAATTATTGATTCTTATGCACTTAACAGGGTGATGAGATTAGTAGGAAAACTTCATGAACAATTTATACTGGAGAAGAGCAAGAAAAATAGGGAAAAGAAAAATCATGGCTTGCATGATGGAAGAAACTGCAATTTTGCAAATAAAGAAAATGGAAAAAAATTTATTTTTCCTTAAATATTTTCTTGCCTTGCCTCTTTTCCAGGAAAATAGTGATAGTTGTTAACCAGATATTACGCCTTGCAAGCAACACAACCCCTCTCCTGTCTATACAATATTTTGACCAATATTTTCCGGTGGAGGTGTCAAATCAGGTTCGCAGATCGCGTTGGAGTCAAACCTTAAATTGACCCGACCTGAAATTTTTCAACTCTGACCCAAAACCCAACCCAAAAATTAATAATGTCAGTAAAATCCAACCCGAATCCGACCCACCTTCAAACTGCTAACCCTAACCTGACCTGTATAAGCCATTTAAGGCAAGGCATAGATAGCTATTCAAGTCAATTTTGAGTCAATTTTGGGTTGGCGACTCGATTTTCTGTTAATTTAGAGTTGGCGAATCCATTTCGACTTAGCGGGTCAGTTTCGAGTCAATTTCATGTTGGCGGGTCATTCAAAACTGACCTAAAACTTAAGGGGGTTAGGATTCCTACTTTGAACCCGACCCACAAATTATTCAGGTTAATCTGAAACCAAATTTTTATCAAATTCAAATCGAGTTGGCACATATTTTGACAAACTTAAGGAAAAGAAAAAAAGATAACAAATACATGTTTACCAAAAATTAGTTTATCAAAGTAAAAAAAACCTCCAAGCACTAATTTGAATCAAGCCTCAAAACTTTCATCTTCCATTAAACAATTTTCTTGTTCCTAGTTATGATATCAATCAAACTCAGAGAGAATTTATATTTATTTACTTAACACATGCATTCAGCCGCAAAAATCCGCCCCACAAAAAGATGAACCCAACTATGCATTTACATAAAAAATAGGCGAAGCTAAATTCAATAAATACCTGCAAATTGCAGTCCGCTCCGGCCGACAAAAGCAAACCAATGCATTGATTTGCGCCTCGGTTGAGAGCAACATGAAGCGGTGTTGTATTCTGAACATTCCTAATGTTTACATCAACGCCCACCTCGAGAATAATCTATAGCACTCGAAGACAAAGCGGTTTATAAATTGGTTGGAAACACTAAAAAAAATATGAAAATTTAGATATGTAACACACAATTCTTATGTATTTACATATCTCATACCTAAACTTTCATATTTACATACATAGCACTTTGGCACTCTAAAACTATGTAATAATAGATGGATTTCACTTTTAAACAGTGGTCATAGTGCCATTTTTGTTGTGACATTAAAGATTTGAGCGTTCAAGGTGTGAGATGTGTAAATACATAAGAATTGTGTGCTATGTATGTAAATGCCACAAAAAAGTTATACAATGTACACAAATCATTTTTTTCCTTTTTTGTCAATGGAAAGGCTCTATACCTTTACAAGCTCGGCATCATTAACCATGGCGCCTATATGTAATGCTGTTCGGCCATGCAGCTCATCTTGTGCGACCGGATCTGCACCCGCAGCGAGTAATATTCTTACCAATTCTCGGCCCTCTGCAGAATGACATCAGACACAACAACTTAGAAGAATAGATGCATATATAGATAAATTTTAGGGGCATTTACATACATACCACCCAATTCCTATATACTTACATAACACAAACTATGCTTTTTATGTTTATACCATAAATCTTTTATATCACATCAAAAATATCACCATTTTAATATGCATAGGTAAGGTGGTATGGTATAAATGTAAAAATTGAAGTTTAAAGGTTAGATATGTAAATTCAAAAGAAATAGAGTGGTGTGTAAGGTAAATCTTCCATAATTTTATTTTGCAGACCTTCTGTCATCCAACTGGATAATTTGTTTATAAGGTCTAACAAAACTTACCAATGGAAGAAAAAAAAATAACCACCTTAATCAGAATTCACAAATAATTAGGAAAATGAATCCCATAATATCAACTTCCTCTGATTGCTTATCACCTGATCAGTAACATTTTTCTGCAACTAAAAATAAAAAAAGAGTTCCAAAGGGTTGATTTTGATTTGCATAATGAATCCTATAAAAGATAAGACCGCGAAAAAGAAAAAAAATTAATCACATTTAAGAAGGTTTTTCCAAAGTATGAAAAAAAGATAATTTGCAATGTTCAAAAACTAGCAACAAACAACCACAAGAGATTGAGCAAAATAGTTAACATAAATTTAGAATATGTAATCTCTTCTTCCACAAATCAATCCTCCAAATCCCAAAAAAATAGCCAGGCTAAACAAGCAAAATTCTTGGGAGGATTTTTTATAAATCAAAAGTTAAAACCTTAGAATTTAAAGGTTTTCATCAGGGTTTTGGAAATAAGACTAGAAATTGAATCAGAAAATTTTTAAAATTCAAATGTTAAAACGGAGTTATAACAAAGGTCGAATCGGTCAACATAATAAACATTTAAATTACTTTAATATGATTTAAATGATACAATAATCATATAATAATGGTATTTTCACCACTTCAACATACATTATTTGAAATTAAGACACCTTTCTTTTGAAAAGTTTGAATATGATTCTAAATAAAATTATTGTGACAATATATTTTAATTATTTTCTTTGTTTTTAATATAAACCTTTTATTTATAGGCATTCAACCAAAATCAAAAAATTACAAACTGAACAATATTAAAGATGGAAGGGTCATCAAAAGTCAAACTAAATCACCACTTGCACATTCTGCTGCTGGTTCTGACAAGTTTTGTGTGATTATGAGCAAAAGTGGCATTGGAACATGAAAAACCAAGCAAAGGGCCAGTTCACGATTGAATCAGTTGAACAGATCAGTCTGATCTAATTTTTAAAATCATGGATTTGATAGAATTTGTTAAGATAATTGATTATGATATATGTAAATTCTCTTCTTTGTTAAGTTATAATCTAGAATTGCACTGGATTTACTCTTTATTTTAATAAACTCCTAAAACCATAAATATGGAGCTTTTGTAATGCTTTGTCATTGATTCAATAAATTGTTTGCTCAATCGCATGGGAAATTAGACCCCCCGCGCAGCGCAACATGATTCCACTGTAAACCATGCTACCTGAACAAAGATGCGGAAACTATACTCTTATTACAACAAATTACAATCTTTCCCCTTATTATATAGGGAATGTCTTACAAGTTACCATATACAAGAAAAATAGAAAAGGAAAAAGCATACAACAAAATAAGAAACAAAATAAAAAAGAATAAAACTTAAATAGGAAATTCCCTCCAATAGCTTTCACAAATTGAACCTGTGGGGCCAATATGGCCAGCAGTCTGAGCCACCTAACAGAGACAAAATTTCACACTCCCCCTCAAGTTGGATCACAGATGTTGTAAAGAGTCAACTTGGTATTTAAATTATTGAAGTTGATGTTAAGGATTTAGTTAATACATCTGCGACTTGTAGATAGGTTAAAATGTAGATTAAGTGAATAATTTCACCATTGAACTTTTCAGAGGTACAATGTCAATCTCAATGTGTTTGGTCCTGCAATGATGCATCATAGGGTTCTCTGAAATACTATCTGCAGCTTGAATTTGACACCACTTCTAGAGACCCCTGCTTGCTTCTTGCTCCTCCATGTGACGAGATTTTCCCATACATAGTAACAATACCCAGATGTGGATCTTTTGTCAGTGAGTACTTCTACCCAACTAACATCAGTATAAACTTCTAGCTCCATGTTGTCTGATTTCTTAAACAATAACCCTTTGTTAGGGTTTTTGTAAGACGTCCCAAATATTCTTCATTTAGAGTATTCATATGTTGACTCACAATGCAGACAAAATAAGTGATATTAGGTCTAGTGTGTGACACATAAATAAGCTTACCCACCAATCGTTGATATCTACCTTTATCTACTGGTGTCGTTTTTCCCTCTAATGTAAGTTTTAGTTGAAATATATAGTAGTCTGAGAAAGTTTACATCCCAGCATTCATATTTCTTTTAGTAGGTCTAGAATATCTTTTTTTTTTTTAATATCACAAATCCCATCTTAAAACTGGCCAATTCCATGCAAAAAAATATCTCAAAACTCCTAGATCTTTATTTCAAATTCAGTGGTAAGAACCTTCTTAATCTTCTCAATCTCATTTTCATCACCCTCTATCAGAATCACATCATATAAATAGATAATAAGTATAATTTTCTTGCCTCATTATGTATATTTTATAAACATTGTATGATCAGCGTGACATTAGATGCACCCATTTCATTTCATAATATTGGCAAACTTGTCAAATCAAGCCCGTGGAGATTATTTAAAGACATAAAATAACTTTCTTAGTTTACAAACTAGATGTTTACTTAAGCCATTTTTAGCCCTTGTGGAATCTTCATATGCCCTTCTTCCTCGAGGTCTCCATTCAAAAAGGCACTCTTGATATGAAGTTGATGTAGTTCCCACTTTTTGTTCACTTCCAAGGAAAGAAAAACTCTTACAGTGTTTATCTTAGCTACTGGTGCAAATGTCTTTTGATAGTCTATCCCATAAGACCGAGTAGCACATTTAGCCACCAACCTAGTCTCGAACCTCTCAATGCTCTCATCTAATTTGTACTTGACATTGAACACCCATTTTAACCCAACGAGCCTTTATCTGGAGAAAGCCTTGTCAAAGTCCATGTGTCATTTAGATCAAGTTAATGGATCTAATCTTCCGCTACCTTTTTCAATTCTGGACTTTGAAGTATTTCACAAATATACTTAAATATTTGCACTCTATCAAGATTAGATACAAAAGATTTATAAGGTGATGATACCTTCCCGTGAACAACATACTCCAAGGTAGGACAATTTGTGGAACTTTAACTGTCTTCTCCACTAGATTCTATCTCTCTTGAAACTTTAGAGATGTGTGAATATACGTTTGGTTGTCAACAATCATGTGGTTGCATATTGTTTTTATCCTGCTCAATATATTTCTTTCTCCTAGTGTACACACAAAGTTTCTTATTGTCAACCTCAAGTTAGATATCCTTAAGTGGTTGAACTAGGGAGACAAAATGGTTAAGAGGGAAGTAAAATAGGTTGTAATGACTCTAAATCAGTGTAAGTATCTAGCGTAATGTCCTAATCTGATATTTACCCGAATTCCTACTGAATTTTAGACTAGGGATAGTAAGATTATTTAAAAAAAACTGACATCCATGTGTTAGACACATATCCAAGAAAGATACATTTGATGAATTTTGAGTCAAGCTTTGTGCAATTTGCCTGGTGAAGGAGAGCAAAAGAGTCAAAATATTTTTAGGGGAAGATTGTATGAGAAGACTAACATATATGTTTCTATCAAAATATATAGATGGGCTTTGAATCTAAGAACCGTACTTCGCATTATATTAATGAGGTAGGTGGTTATAAACACGACATCCCCCCCATAAAATATTTGGGATATTGTGAGACAGCATTATAGACTTAGATACCTCGAGGAGATATCTATTATTCCTCTCAGCTATCCTATTTTATTATGAATTTTTAATAAAACAACTCGCATGGATAATATCGTTCATTGCAAGGTAAGTTTCGGATTGGTCTCTGAATGTCGCAATTCAGTCGTTGCCATCCTAGTTCTAGTGGTTGTTCCGCGAACTTCGGTCACGAAAACAAGGGTCTTGGGAAACCCGGTCTCTGAATGCCACGATCAGGTCGTCGCCTTCCCAACTAGCTGCTCTCGTGACTATATCATTAACATCAGTCATGTAGACGAGAGCTTAAGGAGAATATGAGATGTTCGGAAGCGAAAATTTAGCACCGCAGACGACGACAGGATTAAGCTGCAAAATCGGGCTCCGATACCATGAAGAAAGATGGAGAAATTATATTCTCTTATTCCATCGTATACAAATTATAACATTTTCCATTATCATATAGGTAATGTCTAGGGAAAACAAAACTAAGGTTATTACAACCTACCAAATACAAACAAACAATAAAGAAAAGACATACAACATAACAAGAAATAGAATAAAAAGAAATAAAACTAAAATAGAAAACTCCCTCCAATAGCTTCCACAAATTGATCGTGTGGGGCCCAAATGAGTGGCGATCTGGACCACCTAAGAATTCAATGCTACCTTAGCACTAAAGGGAAGGTGTTAAATAAAGTCCAATAAAGAGAGGAATCTTCAAGATTCTAGTCCATATAAGCAAAAGCTTCATGAAAAGTCTTAATTACAAATTTCAAATCTATCCTCCTCAAGTATAATCTATCTAGTTCCTATAATCATTTCTACCCGCCACTTTTTAAATTTTGTCTGGCTATTATAATAAAATAAACAAGAATGCAGGCAAGCCTGAAAACAGAGCTCCACGAAAAATTATTACAACTTTGTGCCATATATGTATAGATACACACGCACACAAAGTCTACAATCGTTCATATCATTTAGGGGAATTTACATGCATAGCACACAATCTTACGTATGTGCATATGTCACGCCTAAACTTTCATATTTACACTCATGGCACTCAAATCTTTAATATCACATATTATCATTTTTTTAAAAGTGAAATCCATCTTTTCATGCATAGCTTTAAAGCACCAAAGTGCTATGCAAGTAAATATGAAAGTTTGGGTGTCAGATATATAAACACATAAAAATTGTGAGCTGAATATGTAAATTTCCCTCTTCTAAGTTCAGCCAAACAGATCGACTTTGATAGCCCACTTTGCTACACCAGACAACCAAAAAAGGGGCATTTACATACATACCACAAAATTCTTATGTATTTACATATCCAATACCTAAACTTCATTCAATACCTAAACTACTTCATTTTTTTACATTAATACACCAAAGCCTTCATATCACATCAAAAATACCAGCATTATAACTTTCAAAAAGTGAAACACACCGTTTCATGCATAAGTGGCCATGTATGTAAAAATTGGAATTTGGGTGTTAAATATGTAACTACATAAGAATTAAGTGGTATATATGTAAATCTTCTTAAAAGAAATACAGAGCTGATCCAACCTACCAGCTTCGCGGTCCTTTTTAAGAGCAGCAGCCATACACAAAGCCGTCCCCGCTGGACCAGGAATGTCGATAGCTTCATCAATCTCTTCGCGAGATGCAACTTCGACCCACCTTCGGACAACAACCACATTCCACGACTCGATGCACAAGTGCAGAGGCCTGTTTCATTGTTAGAAGAAATCGATTGTAATTAAGTCAAACACATAAGAGAACTGAAGCTTCGAGCGGAGAATCATACAGACAATTGGTTACGCAAAGTGTGCAAAAAAGTTGATTTGAATTGGTGTATTTCCGTGAATTGGCTGGAATGATGGATTTACACAATCGACGTAAAAAATAATAAGGGCATACCACCCAACTTACATGTACTTACATTATCTAACAACCCAAATGTTTCATATCACATAAAAAATACCACTATTTTAACTTTTAAAAATGAAAATACACATTTTCATGCATAGGTAAAATACATGATAAGACTTGAGTAGTACATGTAAATCTAATAATCCTTCAAAGAGAACTCAGAAAAATTATCAGATTGGTTTGATTAAACTTTAAAAACCTAAAATTTTACAATGAACATTTAATTTTGAGCAGGGCCAAATTATGTAGATTTAAGTATTCTCCAAAGAAAATCATGTATTATGAATTATGAACCCAGTTTCAAATTTCTGGTCCAAAATCCATTGAATTGCACAATCTACAATCCAAACCAAGTAAATTAAGTTACAAGGTGATTTGTATAAAAAATTTAATAGTGAAATATAGAAACAAGTCAAACTAACCTAATAGGATGCAGTTTGTTTTCCAATTTCAGCCAATTAATGCACATTTATAATTTATTATAACATCATGCTCAACATTTCACAAAGAAAAGCATAACCACCTGTATTTCAGCTCACACATTAGATGTCATCAAACAATTAAAGCGAGAAAATGCAATGCATCTACATTGTTAAATAGCATGCACATGAAAACCATCCATTTATGAAGAGGTTTATAAATTTAAATAATCCAAGTATAATCCATTTTGAACATTTTAGTAGGACGCAATGGGATAACTATTTGATGTTTTTATTGATCAGCATTTTGAACTTCTCATAATTATACTAAAAGCCTCACAACTTATATTTAACCTACATTTAGGATCTGTTTAGGACGGCTATAGTCATTTGTAAAAGTAATTGTAAAGTTGTGGTGGGTAAATCAATTTTTTAAAAAGTTGTGATGAGAATCATAAATATTTTTTTTTCAAAAAGTCAAATAGTAACTTTTCTACAATCACCACACTTTAGCATTCTGGTTATAAAAAACATCCTCCACCACAAATATTTCTACAGAATAGCAAGAAAAGAATTGTGATTGCAGACTGAAACAGAAACCCGGAACAAAATTGTCCCTAACATACCCTTAACAACTCTCAGAAAATCCAATGCCCGGCTCATTACTAGCAAATAAAGATCGAGATTTTGTTGCCACCAATTTCAACTTGACCTCGTGATAATAACATATTACAATTCCAATTGATCCACACACTCCAATATTGTCAATGTCGCTCTTTGGTTACTCATAAGTAGGAGGAGAAGACACTTCCAACTTCTAGAAGTAAAACTTAAGAAAATCACTTCTAAAAAAAATTTTTGGTTGTCCATGGAATTGACACTTTATATTTCTATTATTTTGTTTATGCATCCAATAAATCCTAATAAAGATACCAAATTATATGTAAATACATCATATGAATCTACCAACACAAATGCATGTGAAAAATTGTACTACAAAAATATGCATTCTATTGAAATATTATGTAAATATTATACATGCATGCATTAGTTTAAAAAAAAAAAAAGTGTACATAATTTTTAATTTATATCCAGAATTTGTCATTTGAACAAGGAGCTCACCGCTCACGGGAGAGTCAAATTTCTGGATATTCGAAGTCAATAGAGGAAACGAGCAAGAGGAAGAGTGAGAGAGACATTCGATGCATGAGAAACCGAGAGAGTGGGGCAAAGGAAGAATAAGAAGAGAAAGGGGGTAGAGGAGGCGAGCGGCTTACCTAGTCGTTTCCCTTTACTGCTCATGATCAAACTTTAGGGGGAGAGAGCTCGAACGGCTCTGTCGAGTGTCGTGAGCAGCAGATGAAAGGAGGAAGATGAAGGAGAAGCCTGATTGGCTATCCATACTCGAACGGCCCTACTCGAGTGAAAAAGAGGAAAGTGAGGCACTTGTGCCCTAACCGAGCCGCAGAAAAGGAAGAGAAACTTGATGGCTCAAGCGGCCTACCCAAGCAAAGAGATGGGAGAGCTTTTGTGTTTTACCCAAGAGCTGGAGGAGGAAGAAGATAGCGGGATCCCTGTCGTGCAGCTCGCAGAGGAGAAGGAAAGGAGCATGTGACTAAGTTGAAGCTCGACCAAGAGCCTGGGGAGGAAGGAAAAGGATAGCCAGAGTTTTGCATATAGGAGCTCTCGTGCGAGAGCAGCTCTGCATGCAAAGGAAGGCTCGATCGAGCCTTACTGTTCGGTTCAACGAGATTAAGGCAGGGCAGACGATTAAAAGGTAATAAAAATTTTAAATAATTAAATAATTTTAAGTTATTAATTGAAATTGATTTAATTAAGTTATGAAATGTAAATCATAATGTTGATTCTTATAATTTTAGGTGATTGGTGAAAGCAATTAAGCAGGACAGAATTTTGTTGAGGAGAGAAATTTCACGTATAAATTCTGAATTTCACATTTAATAATTATTTGTTTCATTAATTTGTGTTAAATTACAAAAAATAAGATTAAAGAATTCTTACCAATTGCCTTAGAATGTAGTTAAATAAAATATAAATTGGTAGGTGTTAAGGTTAACGGTAATTTAGAAAAGTGCTTGCATTGATTAAAGATAAATCATAATTTAATTAGACAAAAAGGACATATGAAAATATCTTATTGATTTAAATTAATTAAATATGATGTGTTAATAAAAAAACAAATTAAATCTATTATGTTATTCTAGGTTCAGAAAAATGATTAGATTTATCTGAGGAAAAAAAGATAACAGACAACATTTATGATGTGGGTAATATATTTTTATTTTACAATAGTATTATTTATTTACGTATATTATTATTGTTTTACACCTTTTATAAATGTTAAATGCAAATTTTCTTTTAAAAATTAAATACAAGATAAAATTAAATAAAATATGATATATAAATGCATATGGGAGTCACCCCTAGATGATACTAGCAGGAGAATACATTGTACCCGCGCACGAATTGAAAATGAAAATGGTTGTCTACTTTTATGATGGGTTGGAAAAGGTTGAGCGTACATTTTTATAAATTATACGTTTAAATGGTGACTCTCAGTTATGAAAAGTGCAACATAAATAAATGAAAAGAAATGAAATTTATTTTTTTTTACTGCTCTCTTTTACTGCATAGTTTTTACTATTGCCGCACTTTTACAAAAATATTTTAAAACGAGAATTATCGTAATATAGAAACACTTATCCACAGAGTAATTTTAACTCAAACCAAAGTTAGTAACATATTTACAGGAAAACCAACTGTAGAATAGATGAACCTCAGAGAATACATATACAAGCGTCGTGGAACACAAATTGATAGGTATTGCAGTTTAGTTTATTTTCTGTATAAATGCATATATAAATGTTAATGTTTAAATATGAAAAATCTATTGTAAGTATCAATTTTTAATTAGAATGGCTCTTTTGTGCATTGGATATTATTCTATGTTAAGAAATGAAACTCAGTTCCCGCATTGGTAATTCCAAGCTAACCGGGTCGAGTCATGATAAAAAGTGTCAAACTTAACAACTTTTAGAAGTATGACCTTAGAGTATATTTACTACACTTCTCACCTCCTATGGAAAGCATCACTTTCCACTTCTTATATGTGACTAAGGCTTAAAATTATGCAACAAAAATTGAGGCATTTTCTTTCAATGAAGCGAGGTGTGTTTAAGCCTCAAAATTAAAATATTAACTTAGTAAAAAAATATAAAATACAAGTAGCATACTTACATCAAAACAAAACATCATGTAAGATAATGACAAATCAAAGTAAAATTCATGACAACAAGTCTCTTCCAATCCCAATTTTACATAAACAAGCAGTCCAATACCCTGAGCTTATAATTTATCAATTCAAAAGTTTCCCCGATTTTCATCAATTTGATAGGTCTTCATTAAAATCATCATTATAAGAAATTGCTCTCTCTCCTCGCTTATCTTCAAATACATGTCAACATCCTCCTAATCATCGCCTTCATCTTCAATCTCAATCATCTACTTTTTTCTTAATCAATAAAAATCAATAAGACAATAAATTAAAAATTAAAATAACAATTTGATTGTTGATTAAAATTTGTATTGCATAAAGATTTATATTAAACTTCTCTATTACTTTCATGTTGACTTGTGTTGATCGTGTTCTTTCCCCAATCAAAGAATTCAGCATTGAGTTCTTCCTCTAGCAGTCATGTAGTTTTTTAACTTATTTTTCATCCTCAACAAATCATACATCTTTTAATGATACAGCACTACAAACAAATGGATCCTCATCATCCACCAAAAATCATTTAAATTAAACCATCAGAATCCTATTTTTAAAGGTTCGCATCTCTCACAATTTTCTCAAAAGCACATGATGAGGCATATGTCTCATGGCATACTTTTCAATATTACCTAAGTTGCATCTTCGCGCAATTTCAAACAATGCATGTAACCAAAACAAATAATCCCCCCCAAAAAAGAAAGGGTGATATCCTAGTTAACCTTATACTATTTTCTCTCATGTTTCCAGATCATCCATCTAAATGGCATTCAAGCCACGTCATTTCCCCATGAAAATTAGAATATTGATAAATCAAATGTTTCAGTACTAAGCATGATCTTTATTGAAAACAAATTATTCAAAATCGATGCAAAAGTCAATAATGCTTTTTTTCAAAAACTATTGCAACTGTGTGGCTAAAATAACAAACTAACAAACCAAGAGCGAGAAAAAAGGCTGATGGAACGAACAAATGGGCTTACGTCTTTCTTTGGGAATTTAAAATCCCCATAGATCTGCAACCTCCATTCTCCAATATAACTCTAGCACAATCAGAGTACCTCTTGGCAATGGCTCTATGAAGAACAGATTCACCTTCATCATCAACAGCATTGGGATCAGCTCCAGCCAACAACAATTCCTATTGCATTCAAACCAATTACAAATCAGATAAGGTGTAATCAAATACACTATCAGATAAATTTTTCACACACTAAGGCCTCATTTGAAACATATTTTTACTAACTTCCCTTTCAAAAAACGTCACTTACTCATTTGGTAAATATTTTGGTTGTGATGCTCATTTAAAGTACATACAGGCCATATAATTCCTATGTTTTTTACAAATGTGATACCTAAAATTTGATATTTACATATAAAACACATTGGTGTCATAAACCTATGCATCAAAAAGTGTACTTCACTTTCCAAAAGACACTGATAGTGATATTTTTGATGTGATGTTAAAGAACTGAATAGTATGAATGTTTAAGTGTTAGATATTTAAATACATAAGAATTGTATGGATTGCATGTAAATGCCCCCATTTAAAAAACGCTTTCCACAAAACTCCATTTTCTTGCTATTTCCAACTGCCATTCCCGTACAGCTTTAGAACACTTTTTTTTTCAAAAATAGTTTTAAAACAAACATTTCTAAAAGTAAGAACTCAATCAAACAAAGTGTGATTTCGATAAACTTACACGCATACATTCGGGTTGACCATGAAAAGCACAAACATGAGCTATCGAAGGACCAAAACCTTCTCTAAGCCTATGAGTTACATTAGCAGATCTCCTGATGAGAGCACAAACACACTCATGAGAACCAGCAGCTAAAGCAAACACAAGGGGTGGATCACCATCTTTATCCACAATATCCACATCTGCTTCTTTGTATGCCAAAATGGTTTCAACAAGCTCAGCAGAGCCCTGCTTACAAGCTAAATGAAGGGCAGCATGGCCATCAGCATTTTGTGACTCTAACAAAGAGCAAATTGTGTTGCTGTCGCCTTTTGATGCAGCCCTTGCAAGAAATTCTCTGAAAAATAAGCAGTTGGTTGAATCCTCGAAGAGATTGTGTCCATAAATAACATGAATTTCAAAAATTTACATATTTACCTGACGGCGGATAAGTCAGCTTCCGATATAAGTCTGTGTAGGATGTTGGGATTAGCCTGAAAAACCTCCAAGACGGATGTCGGGGATGGTTCTACAGCATTTGTTGGGAGAATCTTCATTACACTACTGCAGTGAGGGTAGATTTAGAAATAAAGAAAGACCAGGGGCCATCATGCATGCAAATGTCTCCCTTCAAAAAGTTTCACATTATTCTAACTATGATTTCCCGAGTACGCCGCACCTTACACCCTCCAAATGCACACCAAATGATCCAAATCTATTCTTTCAATGTCACATTTTAAATATTTGCACTGCACACCATCTTTGTAGTAAAAACTAATTCTTAAATTATCCTTTCTCATTTTACAGCACCTCAATCTAAAAAGTTTCAATTCTCCAGAAAGCATCTTTAAAAACATTAACATGCAAATAAACATGCTTAAAAACCTACTAATCTTTTATCTTTTAATAGCCACAAAAAGGGCTACTTATCATCAAACGAAAAAAAATAGACAGATTTACGAACATACCACTTAATTCTTATGTATTTGCATATATACACCTAAACTTCAATTTTTTACATGTATGCCACTATAAGCATGAAAAGGTGTATTTCACTTTTTAAAAGTTAAAATAGTGATATGTGAACACATGATATGAATGTAAATGTCCCCAGAATATATATATATATAACCACTCTGCTAAACACACAAAAGGCAATAATATAACAGAAAAGAAAAATAAAAAACACTAAAATCTACAAAAAACAGAAATTACTTTTCAGGACTGGGAGGCGGGCTCCTTGGAATCCCTTGCAAGTGCCGAAGAAATATAGCTAACATTGCATGAAAAGTAGGCCTCTTTGAAGCTTTGAATTGCAGGCATTCTCCAATCATCTTCCACAACTCCCTTGGAATTCCAACACCCACCACACTCGCATATTGCGGAGGCAAGCTCCTTGCTTTCACAACTGCTCGATGAATTTCCTCCGAGCTCAATCCAAACCATCTGCATAGAGCTCACCATCATTACGACGACAATCAAAGTAAAAGAAACTAGCAAAATAATGGGAAGACTTACATACATACCACTCAATTCCTATGTATTTACATATCTAACACCCAAACTTCATTTTTACAAGATGCCACCTCACCTAAGAATGAGTATCTCACTTTTTAAAAGTTAAAATGGTGGACTTCTTGATGAGATATCAAAGATTTGGGTGGTATAAATGTATAAAGTAAAGTTTTGGTGTTAGATTGGTAAATAAAGAGTAGGGGGTAATATGTAAGATTTACATACATACTCCCCAATTCCTATGTATTTACATATCTAACACCCAAACTTCAATTTTTACATACACCTCACCTATGTATGAAACGGTGTATCTCACTTTTAGAAGTTAAAATGGTGACCTTTTTGATGTGATATGAAAGATTTTCGGGGCAGAAATGTAAATAATTAAGGTTTAGGTGTTAGATATGTAAATACATAAGAATTGGGTGATATGTAAATTCAAAGATTTAACTTCACGTACGGAACAAAACTAGTACACATTTCAACCAAGGTGCATCCAAAGCTCCACGCATCGGACTCCCCCGATACGCTGCCGACACCATCATCCCAGAACAAATTCAATGCCTTCTTCAAAGGTTCCCATGCCTCTGGAGCCGTGTAATGTGGACTCAACATCGTGCAATCCATGCATGAATGCATCTTTGATGAACTTTCCTCCGGAAGAGATCGAGCTTTCTTGCAAGGTTTCTTTAGAATCTCGGGAAGCCCGTAATCAGAAACCACCGCCCGACCGTTCGCATCCAAAAGAAGATTCGATGGCTTTAGATTCATACAAACAACGCCTGCTGCGTGAAGTTCCGCCACTCCTCGTGCAATGTCTGCCCCATATCTACAAAGTTCCAAATAGATGTTAGATTTTGAAAATCTTTTGCACTATGTGTAACGCGAAAAAAAAAAACAATAATCAAAGTTCTGCCAAAAGCACAAATACAGTAGTTCTAAAATTTGAAACAAATAGTTGGGGCATTTACATAAGTACCACCCAATTCTTATGCATATTGATATCTAACTATACTTTAATTTTTACATTTATACCAACAAAATCTTTTATATCACATCAAAAACACCGCCCTTTTTAATTTTTAAAAAGTGATATACATCTTTTCGTACATAGGGAAGGTGGCATGTATGTAAAAATTGAAGTATAGGTGTTAGATATGTAACTACTACATAAGAATTGAGTAATTGAGTGGTATGTACGTAAATCTTCCTAAATAGTTAAGCAATGAAATTCTGTTAGTAAAAGCCAAACAGTTTTGGTCTATTACAAAGCTATGGACTGTTTCTTTAGGAAAAAGCTTACCTTTGTCGTTTGCCCTCATGATGTTATAAAACTGTTAACTTCTGATAAAAGAGATGTCTCCACAGGCTCAACCACAGAAATCAACAAGAGAATGATTTTTTTCATATTCTCTTACTGAATAGATTATGCTTATTGAAACAAAACGGCATTTACATACATACCATAGAATTCATATATATTTACATATCTAACAACTAAACTTCCATATTTACATGTCTTGCACTCAAATCATTGATATTACATCTAAAATACAATTATTACTTACTTTTAAAAAGTGAAATACACCATCTTATGCATAGGTTTATAACACCCAAACTGTTATAAATGTAAAAATTAAGTGTTGGATATGTAAATACATAAAAATTGTGTGGTAAGTGTGTAAATTTCCCTAAAACAAATCATATGAATAAAATACCGTAGCATGTGGTGGCCTCTTTGTATACATATGAGGATCTAAATTCCAATTCCTATGCTACCAGCAAAAAACTACAAAAAAGGTACAAAGCATTGAGGTAGACTTAAGAAAATGATTACATATGAGGGTATAATATGACATTTCATGTTTATATTCAATAGTGATTGATGTCATACATAATAAATTATAAGTTACTACCAGGGGAAAAAATACCATAGATTCAAATTTAAGAAATTCTCAAATTATAAATTCATTCTTTCAAAATTGCTTCATGAGTGAGGAACCACTAAAGTTTTTCAGATGAAAAGTTCTCAATTGTGCAATTTCAGATACAGATAACAACCATTAACCCTTCTATGTAAGCATTTAGGCCTCCAAAAAAAAATCTCAGATCAGAATTTGTTGATGACAGAAGGCCATATAGCTCTTAAAAGATGTCGCTTTTACTAATAAAAGCACAAAGTACGTCAGAATCTCACCCTAAAACCCCTAAACCATGACCGAAATCTTCAAAATTTAAGGGTAGATGAAAAAATTAAAATTGCTTTTTTTAACGCTTGGTACTTCATAAGCACTCCTACCAGAGAAAGAGAACAGAAGATAAGAACCTTAATATCTGCTCCAATGTCAGCCTCCCCTTATTCTGCTGCATCTCAGCTAGAACAGAGCTGTTGTATCTATCCATGATGAGAGAGAGATACCCATCGGACCGGAGAGCCCCATGGAATGTGCAAACATTCCTGCACCACATTGAAGCACGCCTCAAACTATCTAACCTACTCTGCACCCAAATGACATCCATGCCATCAGCTATAGGCACCCTCTTCACCGCAACCTGATGCCTGCACCGTCCACCGGAACCAGACGGCGCGCCGCTTGAAACAGACGAGCTGCCATAAAGCACAGCAGACCAAGTCTCTTGTCCACTCCTTCCTTCCCCAAGCCGACGCAGCAGTTTGAGATCATGGTGCGAGGTGAGGTCAATGGGACTACAGGAAGCACCTGCGGAGCTAGAACAGCATCCGGATACCGAAGCACGGGATAGTCTGCCGCGGTGGGGACGACGGCTAGAACCGAAGTAGTCGTCTTCATCCTCACTCTCAGCAGGCTCATCATCCTCCGTCCCGGCGACCACACTGGCGTCCTCTCCATCAGTGAAATCGCACTCAAACGAAGGAGATGTTGGAGATGAAGATAGTAAGGAAAGGATAGGGAAGTTCTTCCGAAGGGCATGAACGCTGTTCCCAACGACAGTCGGGTGGCGGCAACGAGGGCAAGAGAGAGTAGTGTCCGTTGAAGCCGCGAACATGCGCGAAAGACAGGATTTGCAGAATCCATGCCCGCAGTCGAGAAGCAAAGGCACTCGTTCCTCCTCGTTGTACCGCAAGTGGCAAACCGAACAGCACGGCACCTTCATATCTAGGGTTTCACTAATGATGAACGTAGAATAGGCCCCGAATTCTAAGCCCTAAGCCCTAATTTCAGAGAACAGATGGGGGAATGGGAAGGATGGCATCGTATTGTGGGGTTGGAGGGTTTCAGATCCGGAAGAGAGAGAAGGAAAGGGGAGCATTAGGGGAAGAGGGAGAGGAGGGCTGAGAAGCTTGGATTTGGAGTACAAGATTTGAGCTTTCGGAGCTCTGGTGGCAGAAGAGGGGGTCGCGATTGCAATCTCTCTCTGTCTTGTCTTTGTCGAGTTGCATTTGTGAGTTCTCTCCGTCGACCTCCGCCTACCTTTTTCTTCGCTGCGTTCATTTTTGTATATCAGATTTTTTTTTTTTTTTTTGGATCGCCGGTTTTTCTGGATCCGGTTCGGTGACAACGAGTGTGGTTAGACCGGACCGGATACGCGTGTGGGCTTTTGTTGAAGTCAGCGTGACATGGGCCATAGAGTTTTTCCTTTATCATTTTTGAATCTAGGGCTTGTTTGACTCTGAATTTCAACTCTCTCATCGCTTTGAATAAGAATCACAAAAAATGAAGAAAGGTCATTTGGATGATAACTTTCTTTCACGGCAACAAAGATTTTGGCATAAGAAGGCCATGGATTTGGGCCCTATACTCCACATTTTCACTTGATCACATATATAACATATGAATTTGATATTTACACTATAATAGAGGGGTGTCATAAATATATTTTATGAAAATTTGTGTTTCTCTTTTAAAAATATTTAAATTATAATATTTTTATGTCATTTTATCATCTTTCTCACACCCTAACTTCTTATAGTTGATTGTTGATTATAATTCGTTTAATCATTTTTTTCTTTTAACAGTAGTGTTTTGTTGAATTCTTCGATTACTCTTCAACCTTGTTGAGACCCCTCTCCTTTTAAAGAGTGATTATATTTAACAACCATATCGCTTACCAGCTTTGCATGGCTTGGTTCTTCTTATTTTAGACGAGGGAACATCATGACTGTTTTGATCATTCATCAACATTAGTTTAATTAGCAACCACATCCTCCCTACTTAAAGGCTACGAATGATTTGGATGACTTTATTATTTATCAACTTTAAGATATCATTTTCATTTATTTAAAGATAGCAATTGACTAATTACTCTTTATTATTATTCATGACGGTATTCATTGAAGAAAGATGATTGAACTATTAATTATTCTTGGTTTTTGTTTCTTCTAATGCTACCATGACGATGATTTAAATCCAATACATCTGTATTTATCCTAGAGATTCATTCTAAGTATTTTTATTTGCTTTTATGACATTCCCAAACTACTTCATCGTCACCTTTGGATCATGACATCTGCATTCCAACTTGACAGAAAAGATAACCATGTTGAGTAATCTAAATTGCTTTATAATGTCATAATGTTACTGTCTTCGAGCCATGACATTTTAGTATAGTAAATTTAATCATATCTTATTTAGTGGTTTATATGTCTTTCTTTTATTACTTTACTTTTTCATTTAGGTTGTTACTTTTCTCCTTTTAAGAGATGTTAACATTGCTCAATTTTTTTAAATTTGATAACTTCCCTGTGCCACCCCAATTTCACCTTTAGATCACACCAACGAGAATTTAAAATATGGATTAATTAGATAAAATTTATGACGTTTATGAGCTTCTTTCTGTCACAACCCAACCACATTGTCATATTTAGATCATAACAACCAGTTTAAAAAGAATGGTCAATTAAACAAAAAATTCAATAACATTTATGATTTTATTTGTTGTCACATCCAATATGATGCAACGTATCATATGGAGGCAGGTCACCCCGTGTCAAAGTCATAACAGTTAAATTATTTCTCAATATATAGTTATAATGACTCTTATCTACTTATTTTTCTTTAAATTTCATAAATACATGGTCACTAATATCATCACAATATTATAATACAAAAATACTTGAATTTTCATTTAGATCATATCATAAGTACATAACAAAATGAATCATTTATAATAATCATGATATAATCTTTCTATCATACACGTATCACTATGAATATAAAAACATATATTTATGATAAGAACATATATAATGTCAGTCTTTCAATAGTAAACTATAAACCTTGGCTCAACTCGAGTCAAGACCATCTCTAAAGCAATATATGTGAATAAATCAAGAGCCAACATTGATCAACGACGACACAGAAGGCTCCTAAAAAATTACTATAAAATTCAATACAACAAATATATTTATTCGAAGTAAATAAATCACATATGATAAAATATAATGTGCAATAACCATCACAGTAAATACAATAAATTATGACCACATTAAATATATATTGAGTTGCAGTATTAACATGATATATAAAACACAGCAGAACAACATAAATAAAATATTATCTCTTAATTTGAATTTTTTTACGAGTTTTTGTTCTCATTATACCTTCACTTCTACTTGCACCTCAAATTGTTCGCCCCTTATACATTCACTTTCACATAAATCTCAATTTGTTCATATTTTTTCATTGTCTTTTATATATCCATTGTCATTTTTATATCTACTTGTTTACATCTATTTAAATGTATCAAATAGATAGGTGGATAAATACATAAATGCAGGAGTTCTTATATTGTAAATCTTTAAAGATATGAATATGTATAAAATTTTACTAAATAAAATACCTATAATCTAAATATATATATATAATTCTAATTTGAAGTGCGATAATAATAGCAAAGCTAAAGCAAGAAATTTTCTCAAATTGCTCGACGAATGAAATCAACTCCAATGTGTCTAGATTGGATTTGCTTGACGAATGGATGTCTCCTCAGTTTGTCATATGAAATATTATTCGGTCCGGACACTACACACAAAATGGTGTGGGAGTGTCCAATTAAAACTAGCCACGTGGAAATGCGGGCCCGACACATAAAAAAATTACAGTGTAATTTTATTTGTTCGTGACCCGGCTAGAATCCCGCTTAAGCCTCTGAAAAGCGTTTTTTATTTAATTGGATCGGGTTGTCCAGACTGACTAAAAAAATTACATTTTAATTTTTTTTTTTGTTGGGTCCCACATTTCCACGTGGTGAGTTTTAATTGGACACCATACGCAATTTAGGGTGCGGTGTCCAGACAAAATAATTTTCCCGGTTGTAGGGGGATCGAAAGCATAATGAATAGTTCAAACTTGAATAATACATTCGTTATCTCCTCTTACCTTTCTTACACACTCATGTTCTGTATTGTCGAACTCTCAAACATACAGTGACTCGACATCCTAAACAAATTCAACTTACTCCCATATTTTACAATCATAACCCCCGAATGCTAACATGATACAATAAATATTTTTCTTATTTATTTTTTTAAAGTGAAATACTTTTTTTTTTATACATATTTTTATAAAATGAAAAAGTTACAAATGTAAATATGATGGTTTATGTGTTAGATATATACATAAAAAAAAATGTGACATGTATGAAAAGTTATATATAATAATAAATTACTGTTCCAATGACATGCTGCATGATATTGACAATTATAATCCACAAGTTCCATTACATTTAATAATTTTCTAAAATTTAAATATTTATAAATATTTACCCATCATTTATAATTAATGATAGATGCTATTGACGGACGATGTGACAGCCAGTTGTTGGCCATCTAGACATCTAACGGAATATTTTCCATTTTTTAGGGGATTTCTCGTAGCCAAACAAACACAAAAAAAAGTTAATTGAATCTAACATTTCGTTAAATTAAAATTTATTGTGTTCCATCTCAATTAAGACGTAAATAAAAAAATTATTAAATCTAAGTTCGTGGCAGATTTAATAAACTTACTATATAGTTGCTCGCGAGCTCCATCATCGTCGCACCAGATTTCACATTTTCTTATGAGACATGAAATTTTTTAGTGGTATAAATATAAAAGATAAAATTCTGATTTTAGATATGCAAATTTATAAAATTATCGAAATAATTGGTATATATGCAAATACCTTGGCCTGTTCGTTGGCATCCAAGGTATAAGACCTCTAAGATCGGGGTTTCGAATCTCCTCTGACACAGTAAAACTTAAGAATGTGGTACTCAAATTGTTAAACATATTAGTGGTGACTAGAGATTCGTATAATTGTTTGACTTGTCCTTTTATATATATATATATATATATATATATATAATAAATTAAATATAAAGAACAAACATCAACATCTGCTACTAATGATCATTGCATCGTATGGAAGGCCGCGTTGCATATATTATGAAAAATAGAAAGTCAAAAGTCTAATTATGATTAAATTTGTTTTGAACGGTCATGATTTTATCAGATTCCCCATCACAGCGAAAAGCAAGGTTCACTTATGGCGTGTTGAGTTTCTGCCAAATGGATGGAGATTTGGCTCGTGTGGATCAAAAAAATTATTCCATATAGATATCGCACGTAGAAATACATGATTTTTTTTTAAATAAATAAAAAAAATTTAAAATTGACCCACTGAAATACTTCCTCACCGTAGATCGCCGTGAGCTACAGTGTAAATATAAAAAAATTTAAAGTTAGTCCACTGAAATACTTCCTCACCGTAGATCATCGTGATCTACAGTGTAAATCAGACACTACATCCATTTCTGCATGCGGTGTCCGTATGCAATAAATTTTCCGTGTGTATAAGGCTTCAAGTGGCCTTATTAATTTAACTGTTTATATTTTTAGGTATTTTTTATATTTAATATCGAAATATAAAATTTAAAAAATAAATTAAATTAAAGGTTTTTATATTTTTATAAAAAAATTATTCATGGACTATATTAATTTGAGAGATTAACAAATATATCATTCAATTCTTATGTATTTACATATCTAACATCTAAACATAAATTTATATATATATATACCTCCTTAGTCATGCATAAAAAGATGCATTTCATCTTCTATGTTTTGTTTTTTTAGTTTAGAGATGGTGTTTTTATGTGATATAAAAGATTTGGGTGTTATAAATATAAAAAGTAAAATTTAGATATTAGATATGTAAATACATAGGAATTAGAGGGTCGGTTTGAAAATGCACGTACTAATTAACATGCAAAATAAATAAATAAATAAAACGAATGATTATATAATCCGAACATAAGGTGTGATAAAAGGAAAATGCTCATTATAATGGTTGCTTTTTGAGGCAAGAATGTTGAATGAAGATGTAGTATTTACTCGTAAGAACAATGAATTGTGTAGTTAAATTAATACTTGCAGTCCAATCTTGCCTCTCAACGAAATAATCTAACGAGCATAAGATTACTTAATTTTAACATTATTAAGACACTTATATGCTGACGTAGTATTTTATAACTAAATCAATGGTAAAGGACTCTAGGAGACCGGAGCTAGTAAGATACCCCTGAAGTTAGATTGTATATGAGCTCGAGAGGGAACTCAAAGATAAATAATTATGGAGGTCCACTAGAACACCTTCATCCATCCACCACAGTTAGACTAACATAATATAATCTTCATCATCAGACTGCAAACTCCATTCATTATCATTTGATTGCCATTATTCAGCCACCACAATTAGATTTTTGCTTCTTGTCCGCCACCAATGCTACTAGATCGCCCCACACTACAATCACCATCGAATTATCAATATTCGTGTATCTACTTTCATCGAATAACATTTATCCACAAGTGCCTCTGTTCATCCACACACCCATTATCATTAGAATGCAAGTTATTGAATCACTAATGTTCGCTATCATCGTAAGCTAATCACCAATCTTCCACCACCATCATCAAATTACTACCAATCACCTATCCATCGCCATTCTATATTGCCATTTTAATTGGATAGCAGCATTTTCTCATCCATCCCTGTCCAACCACTTCTATCCAATTATCATAATTAGACGACTATTATCACTCCACTGTAGTTGAATTACTAACATCCAGTGTCCCTTTTCCACGACACAACAATCTTCGATCAATCTATACGGGCGACATTAATTATCTTAAAATAAATTGTAATGAAATTCAATTATTTCAAATTAATTTATTTTAAATTTATTATTAAGCCAATTAAATACCTAAAATTTTGAAATCTTATATATACCGCTGGTTTTCCGAGCAGCCCTCGCGACAAAATTCTTGTTCCAACGGAATCGAACCCTTAGATCCTCTGATTCCCCTCCCCCGCCAAAAATAAAAACCCTAATCAGCTCTAGAGTTCTATTCTCGCTGCCGTTCGCCGGAGAACCCATCCCAACACAGAAAAGGAAAGAAAAATGCAAGCCTCTGCTTTCATTCACCGCCATCAATTCTACCTTCCTCACATTTCCTGCTCCTCCTCATCTCTCCTCAACTCGGATGCATCTCGCCGGAGTTCCACCGTCCGCATGGCTCTCAAGGAGGATGGACCCTCGCTCGCCGTCGTCGGCGTGACCGGTGCCGTTGGACAGGAATTCCTGCAAGTGCTATCCGACCGCGATTTCCCCTATCGAAGCATACGGATGCTTGCCAGCCGCCGTTCCGCCGGCCGCAGCCTTACCTTTGAGGGCCGGGAGCACAAGGTCGAAGAGCTTGTGCCAGAAAGCTTTGATGGCATTGACATCGCGCTATTCAGCGCCGGCGGATCCGTCAGTCGCGAAATGGCGCCTGTCGCCGTCCAGCGGGGCGCGTTCGTTGTGGACAATAGTTCTGCTTTTCGGATGGATCCTGGAGTTCCTCTGGTCATTCCGGAAGTTAATCCGGATGCCATGGCGCATATTAGTCTCAGGAAGAAAGGAAATGAGGGGGCGATTATTGCTAATCCGAATTGCTCGACGATTATCTGCCTGATGGCGGCCACACCACTTCATCGTCATGCAAAGGTTTTTTCTGAATCTCGTTATTTCTGAAATTTGTTTTGGTGACGGTTCTGAATTTATCATGACTATAGGGGTCAGTTCGGTAACTTTGGGGGTGTTAGGCTGCATTGAGGATTTAAGTTAAACAGGATTTTGAAATTCCTGTAAATCCGGATTTATGAAATCCAAATGCTTTAAATGCTGAAAAATATTTGGTATGATTCAAGTTAAATAAAGTTAATCCGTTTGCAATATTTGGGGATCGTGTCCTTTCCTCCTATGATGAGGCTTTCTTCCTCATGAAGATAAAAAAATGACCGTCTGGGAGGAATCAAGTTAAACTCTGCTTAAGTTTTTCCTTAAATTCAATACCAGTCAAACCCTAAGAGGAGATGAAGATGATGAATCATTAGCATAATATTTAGTGTTTTCAAACACATTGAGTATAATAATTTTTTTTTGGAAAATTACATATTTTATAACTAAATTTTGGCTATTTGTAAAATTAACATTTTCCCACCCACATTTTTTCAAATTCTCCCTCAAATATCAAAATTCTCAACATAACCCTAGTCTCAAATTTTCTGTTCTTTTTTTTGTCAAATCCTCAACACTTTAATAATTGCATGTGCAAATACACAAATTCAATAGTTAAAAAAAATCACATGGATGTTGGTCTTATAAATAAGATTTGAATGTTATGTGTGTAATTCCCCTCTTTTTTTTTGTAAAATGCATGCAACATATTTGTTTATTGACATTATAATTTTGGATTGACTAATTTGTCAAATTATTAGGATAGTTTTTTATTGGCAGACATCTATCAATCTAAATAGTAGTTATCTTGATGGATAAAAAACTGACGATAAAATCAAAGGCTAGAATTAACAACGGTCATAATAGGTACCATTGCAAATTCTGCAAGCAATAACACCAATCCAAACAAAAACACGTAAGAAATTACACTATCCTCTTTTGACACTTTTGTCTTTCCAATCAAGGAAATTGTCAATTTTTTTTTTCATAATTCATATATCCCAATACATAGAGATGCATCATTGTTTGCTATTGCATTAAAGAATCATATATATTTTATTTTTTGATATTATTGACATGAGTTTTTAGCTACCTTTAGGCTTTTACGAGAAAATGACTCAATGATTTGGCCTCTTTTGGTTATTTTCTGTTTTCTTTAATGCAATTTTGAGTTGTCTATTTAATATGTAACATAAATCATTATGTTTGTGCACTAGGGGTGTAAAAAATTGACCAGACACACCAACTTGCTTCAAACCTAACTTGAAAAATCTGGGTTCGGGTTGAACCTCAAAAAAAAAAAAAAACCCAAAACTAAACTACTAAATTGAAATTGACCCACCACCCTGAAATCGACCTGCATTTGATTCGATTTTGATTTTGAGTACTTGTTATGGCTTATGTTAAATGAACTATGTGTGCTGTGTTGGGTTGGGGGGGGGATTCAACTTTTTTACTTGTTTAAGATTTAGGTTAGGTTTGGGGCAAGCTCTTTCGGGTTGGGTCAGTTTTGAATCAGATGAACCCGACCCATAAAATCGATTTGACACCTCTATCACGCATGTTGGGTTAATTTAGTGATGAATTCAATAGAGTGAAATTTGGCTCAAACTAGACTCAAAATAACACATCCCATCTAAGAAGGCAAAATTTCAACAAGGTACTATGACCCAATGGTGTTTATTTTTTATTCACATGCGGTACATGCGTGTTAGGAGGAGCAGTTACTCATATATTTTACTGCAAGTGATCATTGCTCATTGCTCTGAACTTTTTCACTCAAAATTTAATATGTACTTTTCTTGTAGCCTTCAAACCTCCTATACCTAGTGGGTCGTGGAGAAAACTTTGGGTCGAACATAATTTCTTATGTAAAGCCTACTGTGCAGAAATTGTAGAGTTTCTCACTCTAAATTTTTGTTGTGTTAAAGTTTAATTGTTATTTTCCTTGTTGAGCAAGTTAGTAAGGTTCATACGAATAAATTCAGATTCAACATTAAAAAATGTACCGTGTGAACAAGAAAACAAAAAAATAAATTTCTAATAAATAAGCAGAACCAAAATATGATCACTTGAAGGTAAATGGCTAAAAATGGAAAGGAAAACACATATAATGATTATTGAAGTTTAGAAGAAAGTTCTTAGATCAACTTCAAAAATAATGATATCACAATTTTCTGTCACCAAAAGAAGACTACCCGTTGTTGTTTTTTTTCTACTAAAGAGTTCACTCTCAGGTGGTTCTTATGCCTTGTGACAGGGTTGGAAACCCGAAGATCCATTTTGCAAATTCATCACTTGTTGTTGGCATTGCATGTTAATCGTTAAAAATTCTGAAACTGTGGTTGCCTAGGTGCTTTCTTCTAATAATAGGGAATATTCCACTAGTATTTTTTGCTTGTCTCTTGTAATTCAACGCTTAGGAATCTATGTTTTATATTATTTAAGTTTGTCCTTGTATTTGTGAAATCATTGTTAGATTTACAAGATTTGAAAATTTTATTACTCTTTGGAATTCGGTAATTGAAAGTTAGATGACCAAAGGAATTTTTCTGATTGAATAACTAGCCAATTGCTTTTAGAACTTAGTGAATTGGTCTGACTGAATTCAACTTTTTCTATTAATTTGTTGATTGTTTTGAAACTCATAGAACTTGTTTGATTGAATCAACATTCTATCTTTAAAACTAAAAAACTCTCATGATTAAATTCGATATATTTTAAGGATTCATGGATTATTTTTGAAATTTAGGAAACTCGTGTGATCGAATTTGTAGCTTATCAGTTATTTTGAAGACCCAGTAGATGGGAGTGCATTAATCCAACATCACTTGAAATTTCTCAGTTCATTCTTTATGAGCTCATGAAAATTCTTTTCAATAAAAATATTATTTAGGCATTTTATGTTTTTCATTTTGTCTAGAAAATTGCCATCAATATTCAATTGAGCAAGCTTTGATCTTCAACAAATTCATGAGCTCAATTTTATCTCATTAGCTTTTGGTTCAACCTATTCTTTGAAATTCAAAAGATGCCAAGGGAAAAAAGACCTGGCGGTAGAATTTGACTCTCAAATTTGCAATAAGTTTCACATTTAATATTGAGTGAGTCCATTATGGTTGACTAGTCTAAACAGTTACTATGATAATATTTCTAGAAATTGTGTTAGGACCATTGAAGATGACGACTTGATCG